ACAGAATCTCTCCATCCAAGCACCATGTCCAGTTCTCTGGCAGAAGTCCTGAGTGAAAAAGGAAGACAGAGATGAGACAGAGATTGTTTCTTTCCCATCAGGGCTAAGAATATGAAAATAATGGTCAGTGGTGTGTCTGCTGGTTTATGCAACATCTGGGACCTCAGTCTAGAGCTGAATCACTAGTGTTTACCTTCAAAAATCTCTACCTGGCATCTGGAGACATCAGTCCTGAGAGTGCTCTGCTTGTAACGCTACCTGGCACCAGAGCTCAGCCAAAACATGCAAACAAATAAATCTGAAAGCCAAAAAGCTGCATGAGGGGTAACTACATTCAACCCTGTTTGAATATTTCCCTCCTATTTATAGCTTCTTCTCTTTTATTAAAGTTTCCAGTGATATCACATTGCATTGCTTTGGGGGAATGTGTTTTCTTCTGCCCACTCAAATCCATCCCCGCATGAAGGGCAGTAAGTACCAGGATTTAGCCAGAAAAAAAAAAGAAGCCCCTACCCAGCAGGGTTTATGGAAACATAAACAGAGAGAACACCAGTGACTCGATGCTGCTCAGAGAAGACTAAGGTGAGAAGCTCAGGGAGAAAACACTCTAGGTCATTTGTTTTCACTAAGCTTTGGAGACCTTGAACCAGATGCCAAGAGACCTGAGTTGCAACCCCAGCTCTGCTCCTGTCTCCCACTAATACTTTGAACAAGTACTCAGCTGCTCTGAGCCTTAAATTCCCCATCATTAAACAGAAGGGTTGGGTTAAGGATATAGCAGGCACTTTCCAACATTCGGTGCCTCTCTAATGTGGTTATACACTGTATAAACCCAGCCCTTGCTCATGTGGCTCTGTGGATTGAGTGCTGGCCTGCAAACCAAAGGGTCTCTAAAAGTAAATAAATAAATAATTAAACATTATTCTGCAATAGCAAAACCCCAACTTCTCAATATTTGCCATAACTTAGATTATTTTTGCTTTCATGCAAAGCAAGCTGCAGATTTGGGCAACTCTCCAGATCCATCATCTTCTGCACAGTAACTCACTATCTCAGGCTGACACAGGCTGTATTATTATTTATTTATACCATCTTGAACATATGGTCTCATTGGTGACATGCAGGTAGAGAGGGTGACAGGAGCTTTTTACCGACTCAGTTTATACGTGACATACATCACTTCCACTTCGTTGACATCAACCACAATGAGTCATAACCCTGCCAACCCCTGGTGGTATGGGAGGAGGGATGGGAGAAGGTGCTGAGTGGTGGCAATGTCCATATTCTGAGAAGGGGAGAAATATCGAACATGGGGGAAGGCTAAAATGTCTACATACAGCTCCCTATCAATGACAGAGACTTAAAAAAAAACTTTCTTCAGCTGCTTCATAAATAGTTCTGACAATGTTTCAAAGTCAGTAGAGAAGTTCTCAGTATCTCCATTTTATCAAGGAGGAAACATGCTCAGAACATTTGAGCAACATATGCAATGTCACAGAGCTGCCTGATGCCTGCGACGGGCCTGGATTCTGTGTTTTTAGTTCTCTGCTTCCTGGTGATGTACAGAGATTCACATAGAAAGATTTTATATCAGAAGACCTGCCCTGAAATCCTGATCATTCATTTCATTGGCCAGCAACCAGCCCCCTGAGCCTCAACTTTCATATCTACACTAACAGTATTAGACACCCAGCTTTGAGCTTCCGTGGGAGAATTAAATAAGACAATCAAAGCAGAGCAAAGCAGACATGAGGTAAACAATACATTTTGTCAGACTAATCACATCAGGGTGTCCTCCGTTGTTCAACAGCCAGGTGTTCTTACATCTTTCTAGAGCCAGGGGGCTCTGCACATAGAAATATTCAACTAATGCCATACATGAACCAGAGATAGGGTTATTTTATTGGAACTTGTGTATATGAAGACTGCCCTCTTTGGGGTTGGGCAGGTGTTACATTTTTCCCCAGCACCTACAAGTGCCTAGAAGAGAGTAGAAGCTTGAAGTACAGGGTTGCCATCACTGCTTGTAGTATGCTCTTAGCAAGTAACAAGTGCCTAACAAGTATTATGCTTTGTGGTTACTGTTATTTTTGTTCCTTTTGTTTAAGAGGAGGAAGTGAGAGAGGAAACAAGGGAGGGACATTAAGAAAAGAGATGTTATGGCCTGAATATTTGTGCCCCCCTCAAAAAAATTATATATTGATATCTAATCCTCAATGTGATGGCATTTAAGAGATGGGGAATTTGGAAGGTAATTAGGTCATGAAGGTGGAGCCCTGATGAATGGGATTAGTGCCCTTGTAAGAAGAGGCCAGAGAGCTAGTTTGCTCTATTTCTGTGAGGAAATAAGGAAAAGACAGCCATCTACAAACCCAGAAGTGGATCTTCACGGGAAGCCAACCATGCCAGAATCCTGTTCTCGGACTTACCAGCCTCCAGAACTGTGATAAATAACTGTATGCTGTTTATGAGCCACCCAGGTTGTGGCCCTTTGCTATAGCAGCCAGAACTAAGATAAGAGAGAATCTGCCATTTGCCATTTTTAAGCAAAAGTTGGAAAAGCATTCAGGATGGGGAAAGAGTATAGCTGTTGATGTGAAGAATTCTTTCATTGTGTTTCTTAGCAACAAAATGCAAGGTAAGAAACTAAATTCCTAGAGCAGGGATTACAAAAGCTTAGCCCTGTATGGCATGGGGAAGGGGAGGTGCAAAAAGAAGAAAGACGAAGTTGTCCAGTACAAAAGGAGAGCAGGGGACTCCCTGAGTTCATCCTCCATGTCCTGGGTGGAGGCTGCCGTGGGTCTGAGTCAAGGCCCAAATCCCAACTTCATCAAGTCACTCAAATCCCCTGCTGTAGGGCCATCGGCTCCTTCAAATAAGTGACCTTGGCTGGTTATCTCCATGGTAACTGCTCACATCCCAAACGGTTCCTTCCTGTGTGGGAGGAAGCATTTCAGAAATGGGGAAAAGCAGAAGTGAACTGTGATTTTTCTCTCTTATGACCCTTCTCCTTTGGCAAATCATGTCTTTTTCCTAAACATCGCAGTCTCCTGAGGAAACCGTCCACAGGAGAGGGGGTTTCAGTGACTTTATTTGCAGACAGATGCCCAGGACACATTTTAGAAAAGAAGCTGGAAGCTGACTTTTCCTTAGACTCAAGATAGCTCAGTATCTCTCAAAGTTCCCCCATTCTTTTCATTAACAGGTCCCCCGAGAGCAAACCCAGCATGTCCTCACATTCTGAAAGAGCTATAGAGCAACACAATCGCAGCGTTAGTCTAGAAAGCTGGACATGACAAGACTGAGTGTCTACTACACCCCACTTCCACTCTGCCTTCCCGAGGTGCGGCCCCTGCCCGACCCATGTTCCTGGTCTGTCAGCCGATATGTCTCCCTCCCACCACAGAGGCTACCTCCTGCCCCTTGACCCATGACACTCCCTGTGATCTTCTCCAGCAGGGCACCCAGACTTGGAATAAGGCAAACGTGTATTCTGTCTAAACCTGGAGTATCAATTGCATAGTAAGCTCCATTTTCTGTCTATGCTACAATGTCTAGGATCAGAGCAGCATTTTACAGAATGATGAATGACCCTTCACCAGCTGAGCCATGGAAGTACATGCCTGACCACAAAACCCTCCAACTGCAGCTCTCAAATGTACCATGGGGTCTGCTCTCCAGTCATCATTACGAGCCAAGAGCATTCATTCCTTGGCACAACTTCAGCCTTTCCCGGTAGTTTTGAGCCCATGATTCTGTCTGAGAAAGAAATCTTTTTCTCTACAGCATCCCTGCCTGACTTTGACGTACAAAGGTGTAATTAGAACAGCATGGGCGATCCATTTACCTCATCTCTAACATTTAAGTGCTTTAAAATATGTTTCTAATATCCTAGGTACACGAAGCCAAATTCCCTTTCTGTTTTTCACATGCATGAGTAAATCCACACAGATTAAATCCCCTGGGATTTAGGTTCTGCTTAGAACTTTTTTTAAAGAAAACAAATATTCCATTAAAACGACATAGTGTACTCTGCATATTTTTAGGACAATTAAGACTCTAGAATTCCCTCTTCTTCCGCCTGTGGTAAAAATGTTTTCCTTAACTATTTCCTTACCAAGAATGTCATTGGGCTGAGATAAATAGAAGGGCTTTCTTGCCTTTGAAAATAATCTTCTCATCTTACATTGTCAAAGTACCCACTGATGGATGAAGATCTTTGATGTGTTTTGGGAACGATCCAGGCTCCCTTGTACCTTCACCAGATAAATCCTTTCAGGAGACATTATTTGTGAGCCTAATGGAAACACTTACTTGAACCAGAAAAGCCAAATGCACAGGACACAGAAAAACATGAAAGGAAGGGTGTTTCTGTATCATCTGCTTCATTCGAAATGGGTCACCAGCTTGGGTCATTTTTCTTTAGCACCTCTGACTATATAAGTAAGGTCCTAACGCCTGCAGGCCAGAGCTGCAGCTGGACCAGGTGGGAGGATCTTAGAAAGTCAGTCTTTATGTAGAAGTGAGTGGGGGGGCAGCCCACATCATAGCCTTTGTGCTCCAATATTTTCCTAAGTTTGTGCTGCTGCATATACCAAACCCTCTGCCCGCCAGTCTGTGCTGACGCGCCCACAGGTGGATAGTATCTGCCAAGCCAACACGCAAATCAAATGTTTTCTTGCCACCACATTTGGAGCAACAGCTTTGCAGCAGTTGCACATTCAAGTTCAAAGGCCCCCAGGGCCACCAAATTAAAAAAAAAGAGAATTGATGTAAGACTATCTGCAACTTGTTTTCCATTCATTGCAAAGCATATCACAAGATGGAAAAATCCAGCCCCATTCGGTCCATGATGTAGGCAGAAATAAAATACGTCTTCATGGGAGTCTAACTTGGAAAATGACCCGAATCTAGAAACGGCTGGCAGAATGTGCCTGGGGTGTCACAAACTCGGAATTACATTGAAGAACCAAAGAAAGAACTCCGAACTTCCTCAGGGAAATGTGTTTGTTTATTTAAATTAAAAAATATCGTGAAAATGACAAACTGTTAAATACAGAGGACAATTTCATACGACTTAATAAAACAAGAAGGAAGTATGTACAGCGCTTTTTCACAGGCGCAGCTAGGTCTGCACCGAATTTCAGGATGAAGCAATGGAAAATGTGACCACGCACATCTCCGTTGCAGTAAAGTTTCAGAATTCAAGTGATTCCAGGCAAGGGGCCAGCTTAACTTGGCTTCTTTCACCTTACACAGCCCCCTTTGGAGTAAATCCACACTCCGAATTTTAAAGTGAACGAGGCCCCTTTCCCCCCCAGACGTAAATGTCCTCTGTGTCAAGGCATGCTGGTAAACCAGCTCCTGCACTGTTAACCCTTCCGTGGGAACAGTAGTTACTGCTGTCTCCTATCCAAGGAGAGTAAGCTTGTTTGGTTTTCTTAAGGGTTTTTTGTTTGTTTGTTTGTTTTTACTAGAATTAAATTTGACCTTTTGGTGTGGTTCTCTTCCTCCTTGTGTTCAAGGGCCTGGAGGGTCCACTGCAAAGCCACAGACCCCGGGACGACAGGGAGACGTTGGCAGGCATTCCTGAGCATTTGCGTTTGGGTTTCTCGTTCCCTTAGCTGGAGGGTTAACATTCCAGACCCCAGAGAACTTTGCAGAGTAAAATGCAGTATCTGGCTCTTTGGGTCACGGCCGGGGACAACGACAGCCTGGATGAGTTGGTGATTCGCTCAGAATTTCCCAGTCACTTATGTTCCTGGTCTCCAACTGCTCCTTTAAAACAGATCTTATTTCAGACTAACTGGCCAAAGGGGAAGTATTTTGTCCAAGCTTCCCCACACCAGGCCATGCAGGATTTATCACAGACTCTTAAAAGTTAAAGACATCCTTCCAGCCCCCTGGGGATGCAGCTCATCAGGAGTCTCACGAAGGCTGCAAGCCTCCCCTCCCGATAACATGCCCAGGACCACACAGCACATCAGTGTCAGGGGGTGGGGTCGGGACACAGGACTCGGACCCCCGCTTTATGCAATTTCTGCCTGAGTATGCCCTTCTGCGTGTCGGCGACATGATGAAAGGCCGCACCACAGAGGCCCACGGTGTGTCCTCTCCCAGCTCAGAAAACTAGGCTGGGAAATGAGCAGCAGTAGCGCTAATGGTCGGCTTTGTTCACCCCCCACCAGCACCCCTTCTGAAAAGGTCAGGAAGAGTGCCCTGCACAGTCGTCTGGGGTGCAGCTCAGATTCTAGAGAAACCCTTTCCACTGAAAAAACTTCATGCCAGTATGAAATGCTGGATGGTCCCCCGATCAGAGTTCAGGGTCTTAGGTTAGAGAAACGGTCATGTCTTACAATCCCAGCCAATGTTAACAAGTTTAAAGGTTGCAGTTATTTTCCCCTTTGGTATGCAAAGAGGCCAGGTTCAGATCTCCAGCTTCCTCCCATGGAAAGTCCTCCGTTAAAGGTCCCCCTCCCAACCCAAAAGACCTCCAAAAGAAGGGCTAATGCCACAGGTAAACAATGGGGTACTTACAGCCAATCATATCTAGGAGAACAAAGCTCTAGGCAAATTAGCAAATGAAACCTAGTCCCCCAGCATGTCCTGGGCATTTGGCAGGCCTGGGAGTGGCATCTGGTGAGAGAACAAGAGCAAGCACCCCTGCCTGCCAACTTCTGCACAGGAACCCCAAGCCCCGGGCCCCAAAGTAAATGTACACACTGCTCGTCTTCAGAGCTTTTGCAGCGGTGCGTGCACACCACAGGCGCTTCACGGACTCCTGGCTGCTGCTGGCTCCAGCTGGGCGTGGTCCCCACCACGCCCCATTCAGGGGTTTGCAGGGGTCCCTTCAGAGTGGCAGCTGCACTGCAAAAAGTGAAACCAGACACAATAAATGTCCTTCCTCTCCCCAAGGGTGCAGGCTGATGGGGCCGCCTCCAGAGGCTCTAGGGGTGCTAAGAATTCTGATGGATGTTCTCTGAGGACCCTTCGCTGCTCTCGTTCAGGGGTGTCTCCGAAGTCTCCCCCAGTTCATCGTCGGCCCCCTCCTCCTGGATGGTGAGGTGCACGTCAGGGGAGGAGGACTCGGAGCTCACACTGTCCCCCTCCATGGAGCAGAGGGTGCAGGACAGGGCAGGCGCCACGCTCTCCTGCAACATGTTCAGCATCATGGGCACCTGCAGCGACCTCAGCCCCGTCATCATGGGCAGCGGCTTCATGGCCTCCCCCCACAGCCTCTCCTCGTCCTTGTACAGCAGCAAGAGGCTGGACTTCTTCTCCCGCCTCTTGGATTTCATGTAGCCCAGCATGATTCCAATCAAGAAAATACCGTAGAAGGACATGACCACCAGGATGTAGAAGTATTCGTTACCATTGCTGCTGCCATCGCTGGGGACGTGGGACCCGAGGGGGCGGCTAGGGGCTGTGGTGCTGGGGTAGGTGCTGTTCAGAGGCTCCATCTTCAGCATCGGAGCGCTGGTCACACGGGCAGGGTCTGGGGAGAAACCTGCACGTTAGAACTCTCCCCGAGTCCGTGGCAGAGAACGGAGGGTGAGCCCGAGGTTCGTGGAGTTGTGATTTCAAACAGTGTATAAAAGTGTAAAGAAAGAGCTCCCACTGAACAGCTAACAGGGGGTAGGAGCTGCACGGGGAAGAAGTCAGGGAGAGTGGGAGGGATAGAAGGAGGACTTTCATTTTGTAGTCTATACACAGTCATCATATTTGCAATTCATAGAGCAAGCGTGTAAAAAAAAAAAGCATTGCTTTTACAATTTTAAAAACCAAAGGAAAAAAATCAATGTAAGACAAGGGAGCCCAGAGAAAATAAAGTACATTGGGATCCCTGGGAAACTTTTTTTTAACTGACCGAGTAGAAAAGAGAAAGTTTACATTTTACTTCTCCAACTCAAAACTATTTTTAGTTCAAAACAAAGTTTCCTTAGGTCAAAAAAAAAAAAAAAGGGAAGGGAAGGAAAACTTCATCTGTCAATTGCTAGAAATAACCTTCTTTCAAATGTCCCTGAAGCCAAGCAGCATCACTAACTTACCAAACGCTGGCAAACTTGTTCAGAGTCCTGATTCCCAAACGGCCAAGTCCAAGAGCGTTCCTCCGCGTGGGGCTCAGCGCTCTGACAACTCTGCTGCTGCACTTGGGATATATAGTCAAGAGATGCATCGTCACGTGTTCTGGGAGGAAAATTTACAACAGAGGTTTGTCGTGGCAGAGTGCACAGCGAACTCAGAGCGCCGCAGCTCCCTGGACGGAACTCTGCAGCTGTGAAAAGAAAGACACTGGGAACCGCGGGAGGGTCCCTCACTCCCCAGCACGGAGCCAGAGTTTCCAGGTGGCCATGAAAATGAGTCAGGAGAGGAGCAGGAAAAAAGTGCCTGGTTAGAGCTCTTACCCCCAAATCCAGTCTCACTGAGGCTTAGTTCATGTTTCATCTCCCTCTTGGGGAATAACTACGGGGCTGTTGGCAGGTTTTTGGAGACAAAGACCACATATAATCTGGATAAAAGACAGTTGCAAGCAAGGGCAGGAACTAAGGCTGACGTTTCTGTCCTTCCACTAACTACTCACATTTTAAAACCGTCACTGATGCTTTCTGCACCTCTGATTCCTGGTCTGTAAAATGCTTGGACCTGGGGCATGAGGGGCTTGAACTCCCAGAATTATAGGTACTGTGTAACCTGTCAGTTTACTCATTCAGAGATTTAAGGCTGGCTGGTGCAGGTTAGCCCTTTAAAAACACAGAGAGGTTCTCCCTGTCCCCCACATCAATCTCATTAATCTATTTTTATAGTTAAAATTAATGTGTCTTTTAGATTCTTTTCAATAGTCTGCGTGAAGTGGACACGGGTCGCTGTGTGAGATTCTGTGTTGGCTTCACGCCAGGCCTGCAGGCACAGCTGCTCCTTGCGACATCACGCAGACGCCATTCATACCTCTCTCTGCCTCTCTGGCAGGTCCCAGGAAGAGCAGAACTCCTCCAGGGAGCAATGGAGTTTGAGCTTTGAAAACCTACGTGGACCTGTGTGAAAAGGTTTGCTGCGATCAAAATTGGAAAAGGAGTTGAAGATGTTGATGTCAGTCCATCCGCTTTCCTGGGCTGTTTATTCTGAGAGTCTCTTGTTCTAAGTTGAAGTAAACTAGGAGGGTGGCTCTGCCCCCAGTTGCCTGCGGCCCACAGACAGCAGTCAGGTTATCTTGGGGAATCAGCTCTAGAGCAAGCATCTCTGGTAGTTCCGCTGTTGTTCAACTGGAGCTGAGGGAAAGCATGGTAATGTCCCCTGCCCCACCTGGGACGTAGGTAGCCCAGTCGCTGGGACTTCTAGTGCTGCTGCATAAACCCACCTGGGGTAGCACTGTCCCAGATTCTCGTGGGACACCTGTGCAAAGAGCAGAACTAGGAGCACCTGCCGCTGTGGTGACCACCGGTCCGACCTCCTTACGCTGTGGGTTGTACTCACCCAGAAGTTCCCAGCTGGCTCGGTGTTGGCTTGACAATCCATCACCAAGAACACCCACACACTGGAACTTTGCTGACAACAAAGACGTCCTCACAGTTATATTACTACTTAAAAATCTCCACAGCTATCTCGGCAAAAGTAGACATGGCCTTTCCAGTTGTATTCATGTTAAATGTCTGAAGACTTCCATCTTCAGCTATGCATGTAGTGGTTTGTCAAGGACACTAGAAAAAGAAAAAAATACTTTAAAAAGGACACTGGAAGAGAGAGACCTAGGAGCGTGACGCCTGTTGACTGCTCATCCCAATAATGTTGGTTATGTACCTAGGACATTCGAGATTCATAATCACCCAGGGATGGCCAAGCACTGCAAATGGAGCCCAGAGGAAGCAAAGAGGAGATGGGGGAAGGAGCTCCCAGAATTAGGGACCGAGGAACTACAAAGTCTAATGCCAGGAAGCCAAACAGAGGCCGAATTTTCACACAAAGTAAGTTTCCTAAATTGAGCCAATAGTCCCAAGACAGTAAAACCAAGACAAGTCATGGACAAATCTAGTCCAAAGGACAAAGCACTTCAGAGAAATAGGAAGAACAAAATCCATCGCAGGTTTAAGGGGAGGAACAGCCGGAAGGAATCTCTGCTGCCACCTGTGTGGTGACCCTGCCTCCTCCGGGACTCCATGCTGACTGTGCGGGGATCAGGAGTTTATCCTGTGGTTAAGTGGAGCGAGGCCGGTGAAGCCCTTACTGCCACGTCTGGCAGTCTGTGTGTGTTCAATCTACGCGTTTTGTTGTCGTTGTTGACAGTGTCCTGTTGCTACCACGGGCTTCCAGTTGCTGCCTGTTGGGCACATGCCTTTCTCCAGATTTTTCACGGTTGTTCTTTTCTCTTTTGCCAAAAATGGAATCGAAGGTGTGGGGCTTGCAATGTCATGATGCATAGCTCAATCTCTCCAGTCCTCACTCACAACGGTATTGTGAAAAGTATGGAGCGAACAATAGCGTAAATAGTGAGGGAGGAAGGAAAAGTATCTCAAAAGTCATTCCGTGAGGGAGAGAATGGAGACACACGAGAACTATGAATTATAGCCATTCTGTGCCACAGTTTCAGGAGACAGCGATGTTAAAGAAAGAAATGCATTGTACCTATACTTTGTCTTAGTCTGTGGCTTGCATTGTCATTTTCTTAAGTGTCTTTTTTTCTAACACTGTCTTTTGAAAAGCAAACATTTCTTGATACTGATGAAGTCCAATTTATTAAAATTTTTTTGTGCTTTTGGTATCCTAAGAAATTTTTATCTAACCCAAGGCAAAGATTCTGTTCTATATTTCTCCTAGAAGTTTTATAGCTTTTTCTCATACACTTAGGTCTATAACACATTTCAAGTTATTTTTGCATATGATGCAAAGCCTGGGACAAGGTTCATCTGTTTGTTGCATGCCGATGTCTAATTGTTCCAGCACCATTAGTTGAAAAGACTCTCTTTGTCCCATTGAATACTCTCAGAACCCTTGGAAAATCAATTAACCACATACGTGCAGATCTATTCCTGTGCTTTATTCTGTCCTGTTGACCTATCTGTCCATCCATCCATCAATATCATGCTTTTGAAAAATCCATTTTGAACTGGTATTTTAAGTAAGTCTAAGATACACTACAGTCCAGACCTAACTGAGTGTCTATTATATACGAAGCATTTGGAAGACACTCTTCTTACTTCAGTCTTGTGAGGTCAGTATTATAACCATTCCTAAGGAAAAAACCTGAAAGACAGACAGGCTAAGCAAATTGTTCAAGGTCGTGCTATTAGTAGGATTTAAACCCAGGTCTGTACAACTCCAGACCCCATTCTCCTTCCACCACCTTTTGTCCCATTCAGTGGGAACCAGCAAACTGGGAAAGAGGGAAACATAAAAGGTAGATAATCTTCCAACTTCATTTGAGTCTTCATTAAACTATTTTTAAGTGCATTCTTAAATGGCCAGTTACTCAGACAAAAATACAAACATGCAATGACAAATGTTTCTTTTGAACTCACACTATCTTAAATATTGGAGGCTGCACCAACCTCACTATGTTCTAGGAGGTATCGGTGAAGTAGTAATACTTCTGTCTTATACCCATATTTTCCTCAGTAAATCAGTTTCCTTGTTGTTTATATGCACAGCTGATTTCTGGCCTTGCTTTAGTTTTTTTTTTTTCCCTACTTGACCCTGATGCACAGCTTTCTCCAGAACCTTGAATGTTTTAATTTCTGGGTAATGGCATTTTCACCAGATGACCCAGGACTCCCTGGCAGCACATTTCTGAAAATCTATTAGCAGGTTTTGTGACTAAACCAAGTCTGTGCTGGGATAGCAGCATGGCGGCGAATCTCGTCAGATCAAACGCAAATCTGCAGTCTGCATATCTGACCCAGCTCGGCCTCACCCAGGCTACGTGACTGGCTGGGTTACGTAATCTCTCTGCGTTTCAGTTTTAGCCTCCTCAGGCATGCATGTCAAGCATAGAATAATTAATGGTCTCAGGATACTCAGAATGTCCCATAACCCACAAGGAGATGCCTTTCCTGCGTGGACAGTAAGGGACGGAGCAAAACAAAATGTGAAAGAGCCAGGCTGCCGGGCTGCTGATGTGAAATGGCACCTTTGATGCCTACCCTGGATTTTATCTTTCCCAGAAAGTCTTTCTGAAAAGTTGTGTCTGGGAACCCTTGCTGCGCTCATCCCTTCTAACACCCTGAGTCACCCTTCCTAGACTCATGCCTGTTAGCATTCCTCACACTTGGAATAAAACCCGCCTGGGTGCTTCCGAGTGTTTAATAAGACCTGCAGACCTTGCTAGGACACCGGCCATGTTTCAGGGGCATGTGGCTCTAGACAGGCTCTGCCTGGACAGCATCCCACACTGATGAGCGTGGAAGAGCCCAGAACTCCTGGAATTAAAGAGTGCCTGGTAAAGTTGCCATTAGCTCACCTTCGTTATATTATTCGAACCTTTTTTTCACCTGATATTTATTTAACAAATACTTATGTGATGCCTGAAGTGTCTCAGGAACTGTTCTAAGCACTTTATAAATGTTATCTTATTTAATCTTCCTAAAAATCCTATGAAGTAGCCTCTATTGTCATCCCTATTTTACAGATTAGGAAACTGAGGCACAGAGTGGCGGGAGCAGCCTGTCCGAGGTCACACAACTAGTAAGTACACGGCTGAGCTGGCACTGGCATTCAAACCTAGATCCGGGATTTTGGGTCTCGCTGCTACACCATGTGGTCTCTTCTAAGTACTGAGTGTTTCAAGCACAGCATTCTGCACTGGAACTGTGAACCGTGAAGACAGCAGGGAGAGTCTAAGTGTCTCCTGCAACCCTGCAACCTGCTGGACACAGACGACTAAGGTCATACCCACACTTGGAAAAATCCGGGAGGCTGGGTCTGGCCCCAGCTCTGAAAAAGGCTGCTGAGTTAGGGAAGCCCATGTTCCCAGAGTTTGTCAGGAGAAAGTTTGTTATTAATCATCCTACCCCTGACATTGAAGTGTTTCCAAGAGGCCAGATGTAGGCCACACAGGAGGGAGCTCTTTTTCCCAAGTCCAATGCTGGGATAAGGTCGGAAGTCACGGTCCTGCCTTCCAGTAGCTTGCAGTCTGCCCCAGGCCCAGGGTCG